AAAAGATAAGGATGACAGCGACTAACTCACCAAGACTCCAGCACCTTCGCCCATAACAAAACCATCTCGTTCTTTGTCCCAAGGTCTAGAAGCAGTTTTCGGGTCATCATTTCTTTGAGACAAAGCCCTGCAAGCAACAAAACCTCCCAATCCAATAGGAATAATGGCCGCTTCAGTCCCTCCGGCAATCATCAAATCAGCTTCACCCCTACGAATGTGGTTTGCAGCCGCGTAGAAGCAGTAATTTGAGGTGGCACAAGCAGTTGAAATTGAATAATTCGGCCCCATTAGGCCGAGATCAATTGCGAGCAAGGCCGATCCCATGTTTGTTATAGCATAAGGGATAAAGAATGGAGTGATTTTTCTGTATCCCTTCTCTATCAGAGCCTGGACACCATCTGAAAATACAGTAAGTCCGCCCATTCCTGTGCCCACAAGGACACCAGCTCGAATCTTGTCAATCTGCAATTACAAACAAAATAAACAGAATAATTCAAATGGTTGTTCCTGCAAATCCAAAGATACAGTAAAGAAATGAAGATGCGGAGGAGCATGAGCCAATAAAGGAGCGAAGAAAATGGAGATAATGACTCGCAATTAACTGAACCAATTGAACCAACAAAAAGTTATTGCAATTAGATATTAAGTACCAAACTATCTATTAACATCATCCCAACTCCAAGTATAAGAGTAATACGAATGAGATCATCAGTCCTATGTTCAAGTGGAAACACAGCTGCCTTCAATACTTATGAAGTATCTAACCACAAAAGGAAAAAAAATATATATATATATTCGGCACTTCAGAAATTACCCAAAACTTCGATAAAGTTAAGATGAGCTAGGAAATTCACATATCATACATCTGATTCCTTTTCCCAATCTATTTCTTCTACTATCCAACCAAATCAGCAAATCCAAATACAGATATATAAGTTAATTCAGTTAACACAATTCGAGCAAAAATCAGCTACAAAGACACCATACAATCCAAAATTCTGAACCGACTAAATTGAGCTTAGAATGGCATTAGTACCTGGTTGAGCTTATCACCCCCGAGATCCGCACCTTCAAGAGCCTTCTTCCCCGCAACAATGCAGTATCTCAAACAATCGTCCAATCTCCGGTCATTTTTACCGTCAATGTAGCCCTCGGACCTGAACCCCCTAATCTGCCCGCCGAACCGCGTGGGGAATTTTGAGGCGTCGAACCGGTCGATGTGGGTGATGCCGCTCTCGCCGGCGAGCAGCTTCTCGTAGTACGCGTCCACGTCGTTCCCGAAGACCGACACGAGGCCCATCCCCGTGATAACCACACGCTTCTTGGGGTCCGTCTCGCGCTTGGGGGCCGAGACGGCGGGGGTGGACGCGGAGATTGTGAGGGGGATCCTCCTGGACGGCGACCGGGCATTGCCTCCGGGGATGACGGAGGAGTTGCGACGAGATCGGAGGGGGTCTATGGAAGAGGGGCGGAGGGCGGCGGATTGGAGAGCTTGCATGGCGGCGGATGGGTGGCTGAGGGCGCGTCGGAGTTTACGATGTGGCGATGGTGTGGAGAAAAGAGTAGGAGAGAGTTAGTTTGGTTTGGTTTGTTTGGTCTATTAGACTTGGCCGTAGGAAAGAAATGACATGCCAATGAAATGATAGATTATATTTTTTTGAATGACCATTGTAATGGGAATGGCAAAACCTATCTTCATGGAAATAGTCATTCCATAATAAATGGAAAAGTTTTCTCATTCCATGTGTGTAAGAATCATTTTTCTAAAAATAAAATTAATAAATAATAATAAAAAATAAATATATAATATATATTATGAATCATGATTAAAATATATTAAATAAAATTATTTTAAACAAAAATTCAAATAAAAAAATTGAAAACTTACTTTTATTTATTTTTTAATTAGATATATTAAATACTTATATAAAAATAAAACTAAAAAAAGTATTTATATATAATTTAAAAATATATTATTTATTTTTATAGATTATTAAAAATATATTATTTTTTACATATTAAAAATATATTACTTTTAAAAATATATTGTTAAAAATATATTATTGAAAAATATAAAAAATATATATTATTAAAAATATATATTTTAAAAAATAAAATTCAAATAAAAAATTAAAAACTTACTTTTATTTATTTTTTAATTAAAAAATAAAATATATATTATTAGAAATATATTACTTTTTATTTTTATATATTATTAAAAATATATTATTTTTTATATTATTAAAAAATTTATTATTTTATTTGTATATATTATTAAAAATATAATTTATTAAAAGTATATTATTTTAAAAAAAAAAGCATTTATTATTTTTATAATAAAAAATGATAATGTCATTCCATTCAAGTTCTATTCCTTGTGCATACCAAACGCATTAATGACAAAATTAGTTTCATTCCATTTGCATAATCATTTAATTCCTCAATTCATTCCATTCCTACAAAATTCCATTCCATTATACCAATCATGCCATTATAATCTATAGCGAGGGAAATTATATTGAATTTGCAGTAATTATCATTTAAATGGGGAAGAGAAATATGGACTATTTATAATATTCAAAAGATCAGAACCAATAAGTATACGTTAACATAGGATTAACTGTTCAAATGTATATATCACCATCTATCCCTCAAGTTATAATTATTTAAAAATATTGCTAGGTTGCTCTAACAGTTATGCATCAAATTTTATTTTAAAAAAAAATGCTAATACCATAAATAATTATATTTTTGTTTGTATTATATTATAAATTATGACATTTGTTTATGAAATAAGTATATTTGTTGAAAGATTATGGATGGCTATTCATTATCAAACTTATCAAACTAATATAAGACCTACCATAAATTATATTGTGGACCTCTGAATATATAACATATAAAAAGTAAATATTGCAAATTTTGTGTGTGACATATTAGACATGTCGATCCGTGATGCATTTTTAACAAAAATATATACTTATGTTTTAAAAATGTGATACTATTTTGTTTATATTGTTTGTAAAAGTATAATATTTCAGTTTTAAAGTATGTATATATATTGAAAAAGTATTATTGTTTAATTGTTGGTCAATTCTTGAAACTCTAAATATTTATTTTATAATATTATAAAAAAAATACGCAATATTTATTCAGAATATATGTGATTTAGATTTATTATAATCTAATTATTATAGAAAATTTGCTCCACAATCCTATGTAGGTATCGATATTGATACATTTGCCCAGTGATGCGTTATAAGATTAATATATCATACACAATTAGTAAAATGGTAAAAAAACCACGATATCTTAATAGGTTTGATATACCTTGCCAACTTTTAGTTATCCGGTTTTGCTATGAAGCCAATAGTTGGCTCTATAGTGGAGTCAACCTTCCATATACAACAAATAAACATACCATATTCTCTGATTACTTAAATGACATTAATATAATTTTATTAATATGATAAGTTTATTTATGATATATAGAAGTTAGCTCCACTATGGAGCCAACTGTTGGCTTCATAATAAAACCGTTTAATTATCTGTATATAACATACACTAATAAGTAGTTAGAATGTCAATTGCATTTATTTATAGTTTGCAAAGTTTGGCAGTTAGTTCAACGAACTATCGGGAAGATGGAACAAATTTGACAGCAAATAATACAGTAGTTTCAATGCAAAGACATGTTGCTATCATTAAGTACAAAATACTATGTGGTGCTACTGAGAAGTACAATATGTTGATAATGCCGTCGCTATTTTATAATTTATTGCAGCTGTAGTTCTAAATTTTTACTGAAAGGAAGAAGAAGCAATGAATAATGGCATGAACCTCTTTTTAGAATTTTTTATAAAAAAAAAATAAAAAAATATATAAATAATAAAAGTTAGTTGTAACGCAACGTGTAGATGACTGATGAGTCCCCTCTTAGATTTGGATCGAACCGGTCGAAGTGAGCTCCAATCTGTCTGAATCGTTACAACCACCTGCAAGAAGTCAACGCCAGAAGGATTTCTTGTGAAGAATCTCCTATTCTTAAGCCAATCACAAGAAGAGAACAGTGGTGCTATGTCAATAGACCAGTATGAAATGTATATAGTGTGTAAAGTTGTGATATGATGGTACCTCAGCCCTTTTATAGGGAAAATAACTGCCTGAGTGCCCGCGGTCAACCTGCTCGGCTGCCCGGATCTGTAGTGTTTATCCATATCCTAATCACTTTTTAATCAGATTTTAATTACATTGAGATTCCATCTTATCCTCTTAAAATTCATCCTTATCCATTAAGTTTGCTGCATATCAAGATGAGACCCCGATTGGTATGAGTCTCGAGTTGCTAGGTGTATGAAGTCGATCTCGAGATACATGAGGTCGATTAGAGTCAATAAAGAGGAATGAGGCCATCTTAGGAGATCATTATCTCACTAATTGTTCCTAGATTGTCCTCGAAGTCCTCGAGTTGTTCGTCTCTTCGCCTATGTTGAGTTGTTCTGTGATTAGATCCGTCTTCCAAGCCATCCTCTCATAAGTCGAAGTCGAGGTCCTCGAGTAGCAGTTCTCTTGTGTAATCACCTTCTTATGATAACTACTGCGAGTTAATGTCCTACATCTTGAGTCGCTATTGACAACTCTCTTATGATCCAGTCGAGCAGTCGACATCGGTCTACGCGATTATGGCTATATCAATGACTGATACCCCATTATTTTTTTTATTTTTATTATTATTTTTTTTTTTTTTTTAGAGAGTTACTATTTCCGAACAAGCTCGAATCGTAAGGACAATATTCCTTAGGTTTAAACATTGGAGGTCATCCAAGTGTCCTAAGGT